TTTTTGGCTTTTTTATTTTATAAGAAACACCTGAAACTAAGAAAAAGAAAAAGATCAATAGAAAAAGAAAAAAAAAATCATAAAGAAAACAATACCTAAATGGGTTGCCTCCAATTAAGCGCTTTTGCTTTAAGTCGTTTAGCTCGACTTTTGGTGTTGGACGTGGCTTAGTCCAATGAAGAAGACCTTGTCCTGAGACAAGTCTTTTTCGACATCTCCTTGCTTTGCCTAGCAGGTTCTTCGTCACTCCAAAGTTCTTCTTCAAACTCTTCTATTGCAGAACGGTTTCCTGCTTTGCTGTTGTATGGGACAGCTTCTGTGAAGACATCTTTGTCGATATTAGCAAATGAAATCCTCTGGTTTGGCCAGTCCATTATAGCACCGGAAGTTGCTAGAAAAGACCATCCGAGAATCACTGGATATGTTGCATCTCTTGTCTCGACAATGTAGAAGTCGACAGACACTATGCAATCTCCTATTCTCAAAGGAATTTCATGAGCTATTCCTTGAGGTGTTGCATTTGAATCATCAGCTAGACTAATCTTTGCTCTAGTCCTGCGCAGGTGTTTGATACCAAGTCTCAAAGCAATTGCCTTGGACATCATGTTAAGACAAGCTCCAGAATCACATAGCACGTTTTTAAACATTTCTCCTCTAATAGAACAAGAGATAAGAAACTGACCTGTAGTCTTGACCTTATGGAGAATTCGAACTTGCCTTTCTCTGTAGGTGTTGGCTGGTGTTTCAAATGCAGAATAGGATTCACAAAAGAAAGCTGCAGCGTCGTATTCAATGATTGAATCGATGTATGGCATCTTTATCTTGCTGCATATCGGGTCTTCTTGGATTGAAGAGTCAGCTGAATCTTCAACACATTCCCTTGCCATCATACAAGGTAATGATTCCTGCCAATCTGTTTCTTCATCTGAAACTTGGTTTTCTTCTCCCTGAGTTGCATTTTTAGGTGCTGGAGGTTGAAGTTGGGACAGAAGATGTATTATTTTCTCTCAAATCCCAGAGATGGATCTAAACGACCAACTCCCGCGGTCAGAGGCGTCGCGACCGCGGGAAAAAGAGCCTTGGCCGCGGTCAGGATGCTCGGACCCGCGGCTCCGGATATAACTTGCTCATAGTCCGTTTCTTCCTTCTTGTACTTGACACGAACTTCTCCAGCTTCTTTATTAGGTAGGCCAGCATCATATGAACTCATACCAGGGCGTTGTTGGGCATCTTCATCAGTATTTTGGGAGATTTCTTAGAAAATCTTTCAACTTGCTCAATGTTGGGCATCTGCTCCATTCTTGCATCAATCTCCCGTGCTTTGAGCTCGAGTTTGTTCAGCCTGTGCTCGATCTCCTGAAACTCTTCGTCTGTCTTCTCTCTATACCAGGAGGCGGATTCCCTGACTTCTTTAATCTCCTGCTTCGATTCGACAATATCACTTGAGTTTTGTATAATGTCATACCCTTGTCTTGTCTGCTCTATTGCGACTTGGTGGATCATCCCAGCTTCAAACACGTCCTTGTGGGTTTGCTCTTCCAGAACTCGAACATGATTGGCCAGGTCATCGAATTTTCTGTTGAACTCTTCAGAGGTTGAATCAATTCTCTTGAGCAGGGTGCTTTCGGTGAGAATCTGCTGATCAAGGAACTGGTTAATCATTCTTTCGAGGCGTCCCAAACGTCTGCTGATCCTCAAGTTGTCCTCTTGCTGACTAGGGTTCTGCAGTGGAGGATTATAGGCGTGTGGCTCGAAGTAGGTCGAAGGAGGGCCATAAGGATCTTCCCGGCGTCGAACAGGCTCTATGAGACGGTGGTATGGGTGGTTTGGCTGGCTGTATCGATCCATGTAGCTAAGATCTCGGGCTTGGTGTTCTTCTCTGTGTCTGGTGGCTTGAGGAGTGTTATAGAAACCTTCCTCATAGTGTGGATTTCGATTTATAGGATCCATATCTTCTGAAATGGAAACAAAATAACTGAAAAATGGAAATATGCAGAAAAAGGGGTTCTAGAGTCAATTTACCAACCTTTCTTAGGGTTTTGCAGAAAAGAAAATGAGTGCAATCCCCGGCAACGGCGCCAAAAACTTGATGTCGGTGTGTCGTGAGGGTTGTCAAGTTTTACCCTAAATGAAATGAATAGCCGCAAGTGCACAGCTGATCGATTGTAGTACTTAGGGATCAAATCCACAGGGAAGGAGGATCTTTCCTGCAAAAGCCTTCAAAAGAAATATAAAGTAAGGAAGTCTAGAACCAAACGGTTTTGTGGGGGTTTTGGTGGTGTGTTTAAAATGTAAAAACGAATCTTAAAGAGAAAACACGGGAATTAAAATGACCTAATAACTAAACTTAGCGAAAACGAGTAAAAACGGGAAAAACGACAAATCTAATTGTTTAAATGAAAATCAATTAAAAAGGAATGAGAATATTGAACTAAAGCTTGAAATAAAACGGTGTGAATCTATAAGAAAGAAAGCGTTGGGCTTCAGGGAAGTTTTCTCAGGGGTACGAACGATTCAAAACATTGCTAGAGAGTAAAATTGATAAGATCTTAGCTTAAACTTTTCGAACTGGAGTCACGGACGTATGAATACGCCACTGTCGTGACCATAGACAACTATCTCTCTTAACTCTGACCAGTAGGTTTCCACTCTGACCCTAGAAAAGAAGAGATGCATTATGTTTAAGACTCGTCAGCATTCACAAATCGCCCATAGGTAGGTTTCCACTCCTATGTTTGTTTTGCTCTCCCAAACTAGATCTGACACCGGATGAACACTTTCGTGTCACCAAGCATCTGGATCAGATTGTAGTTCATGACGCTACTCTCATGCAGTAAAAACGAATTCAGAAGAAAAAGTTCTAAGATTCGGCTCAAAAGCTCATGGAATCCTCATCAAACATATAAATCCCCATCAAAAATCCCTTAATCCCAACAATAAAACTACTCAGACATGATGAACGAAATCAAAAACATAGTATTAAAAAGTAGAATAGAAACCGAAATTGAAAAAGAAAGAACAAGGGTTCAAGAGACAAATCTCTCTCTCCTTAAAACCTAAAACTTAAAAAGTATTCTAAAACAATAAGAACATATGAAGGCATACGAATTAGGGTTCCTAAAACATGTATCTATAGTGCTCAAGACATCTCTGGGCGTCACTTAGGGTTTCTCCAAATGAGAGAATCATTTTGGGCTTCAGAAATAGGCTTTCGGGCTCGGAGGTAGTTGGCCGCGGTCGGGATGGCTGTGACCGCGGGGAATGGGTTGCTGGTCGCGGTCGCGGTGCTTCTGACCGCGGGAAATGCTCTGTTGGCCGCGGGTGGAAACGCTTGCCGGCTGGTTTACGGGACATCTTGCTCTTCGCGTATCTTTTGATTGAACCGTTGGATTGCCAAGCTGTAAAGTGTGCTGAAAAGCTGATACTTCCATCTTTAAGATCTCCAAATTTGAGCTGGATCAGAGGTGAGAAGGCCTTCAATCAGGGGTGAACTTCTGACGGTTTGACTCTGAGCTGAAATCTGGTTTTCTATCCATTTTGTTAAGCTTTTCCCTAAGTTACCTGAAAAGAGTCTTGGAACTACAAATACTAGAAAAACGTAATAAAAGTACTTAAAAGCAATTAAAAATATAAAAAAAGTATTTCAAAACGATCCATAAAAGTGGTCAAAATACGGTGTTATCACTAACTGAAAAAGAGGGAGTGAAGATCCACAATTCCCTTTGGCTTGATTATATACAAAACTCTTTGGTCGCCGGTATCTGGCTTTTTGATTCACAATAGAAGTGGTTGGCCTTGGCTAAGCCGACCACCATTTCGTCACGCACCTCTCTCCAGAAAGCAAAACTTAATCCCAAATCCGCAACGGTGGAGGAGTCACTGGCTGCTCCAACGAACTGTTGTACGACGAGTCGAGATCTTTGCCGTTACTGTATCTCATGGCAGATCTGTTGCCGTTGATTCTTCTCTCTTCCAGGGAACTCCCACTCCTCGATTTCGACCTCATCATGCCCTCGTCTGCAAGAGAAGTGAGACGAGGAAGTGAAGGGAAAGAGACGAGGACGAGTAATCTATCTAACGGAGAGAAAGAAAACTGAGAGAAAGGAAAGAATAAGACTGTGCCACATCATCTATTTGTTCTCTTACTCGGAGATAAACCAAAGCCGATCGATATGAAAGAAAGAAAAGCATAAGTAAGACTCAATGGGTTATATTGTGCCACGTTACAGATCTGAGTGATATCCTCTCATAGGTTCTCTTCTTCAATGTTTATTTATTTTTCTCATACCCTAAATAAAACGATTTTTAATATGTTTTATTTACAGTTTTAATTTGGAAATTATTTTTTTTTAATCATTGAGTTTATGTTAATTTATTTTATTTTATAATAATATTTAATATTAGAATTAAAGAAAAAACTATACAACAAATGTTGTTTGACACTAAACTATAGATGAAAGACTTAGTAACTTATTATTAGTTTGTAGGGTTTGTATACATGTTTGTAATTGCAAATTACTTTTCAATCATTTCCAATCATTGCCAATCATTCTCATTTGTTAATATTCAAAGCATAACCTAATCTATTTATCAACATAACCTAAATCCTTAATCAACATAACCTAAAACCTAAATGCCAATACCCTAAATTCTAATTTAAATATTCAACACTTCCCATATGGGATAATTTTTTATTGTATATTCTATTGTTAATTGGGAAATTACAAAGAAATTATATTTCACACAATAAACTCTATACTCAAATACATTAAATCCTAAATCAAATATTAAAGATTTAATTCTTACTTTATTTATATATTTTTAAATTTTATTTACAGATTTAGAGACAATTTTATTATATATTCCATTGTTAATTAGGTAATTAAAAAAGAAATTATATTTCACACAAAAAAACTCTATATTTCAATGCCCTAAACCCTAAATCAAGAGACAAATTTCAGAGAAACGTCCGTTTAAAACAAAGAAAACTCCGTTTTATTGAATTATCAAAGATACTACAATTTAAAGTTGAGATATGGTCGCAAACTGCTTGTAGCCTTGTAGTATAAACTTTGCATAAATATACAAAGATACTTCCTTCAAATTTAAGTGCAGGTCGCTGTTTACTGTTGCGTTTCTGAATTCCTTGGCGTTGTAGAGGACGGTGTGATATATCCTTCCGAAGACTGTTATGATATCGGATTATCGGTTATGCATCCGCCATATCCTGCAATGGTATCGGTTATGCAGCAGCCATCTAAATAGCAATTATTTACCAACAAAATGAAAATTTGAACAAGAACTGACGAAACTGAGCACAAAATGCATCATAAAAGTTGCAGGATTATACCTGGCTCGATGAGGACAAACTTCTTGCAATGAGCCGAGCACCACTACAACTGCCTCGTTAAGTATCTTAATAACGTTTGGGAAGACGGCTTCATCTCTTAGAGTCCCTGATAAATTCCCAAACTTTCATATAGGAAAATGAATCTTAGTTCCGAATCTGTACTTTGTATCATCGTCACTATCAAACAGATCCATCGGGGCGTTCTTACGCAGGCTGAGATTCTGCAATATTTCCAGCAAAGTGAATCTTAATTTCCTATATCAAACGAAATCAAGATTCAAAATAAGCTTACTCTCCATTGTTTCCAATATCAAAATATTCAAATCCTAAGTCGATGGAAGAAGTTTTAAAGCTGCGTTTTCTCTTAAGGTTACTATGGTAACTCAAAAGCAAGTGTGTCTCGTCACAATCGAAGAAGTTATATAAAGAGTTAAGGTTCCTAATGAAGCTAGAATTAACAACACCAAATTCTCAACCAGTATAAATTGGTAAATCTCAACAATTTCTCAAGCACCCAACTGAAATTGAAACCTAACTCAAGTCAATAAGATTTCAAATCGAGAACAAAAGCTTACTCCTCTCATGGGTTGTCGTTGTCTTGCCGGCGGTCGAGACTGGGAGAAGAGAGAAGAGCGATCGAAACAGAGAGATGAATATATTGAGATTGAAAGAAGAGATCGAGATAGGGATTAAGTGAAAGAAGAGAGACGGGAGAGCAAAAAGGGAATTTTCTGAAATCCCTAAGTTTTTGTTACAATTTTTGTTGTTGTGTTCATATCGATTTTTTTCTAAAATTAATTTGGTAATTTGTTTTGGGTCGGGCAATGAAATTTTTTATTTGTGGTTAATCTACGATAACGTTTTCACAACTCAGATGTGCTATTACAGAGTAATTGGAGAACTAAAAATTAAGTGGGAGCACATTATTTTTACCGCCTAATATATCATAGCGTTTATCATTTAGGAAACGCTATGAAAAAATCAGAGATAAGTCAAAGATAAGCAGAAACACATAAACTGCTATATTGAAGTGCTATTAATATCTATTTTTCCTGTAGTGTTTGTAACAACCCGATTCGGTCTAGATCTGAGTGAAATGACCGGTCGCGCAACAATCAAACAAGAACATTCACGTCCAACCATTCAGAACTAAACCGGACCGACGGTGCTACATTTGCATGCACAGACTGATGGCCCGAGGTTCTTAGCCGCGCACCAATCAAACAAAAACATGCACGTCCATGAGCTCAAGGTCGAGGTTGCACGTGCTATCCCATCGGACACAACTCTAGGCTTTTCAACCTGAGGCATGCTCGATAGTTGGTTCGTCCCAGACAGGGACTAATATCATATGAGAACCCAAGTTTCGCAAAACCCTTTTTATTTATATAATACTAAGGTTCAAAAGGTCACCAAAAAATACATATACCATCCGGCCGGGATCTCATTGCTCAAAGATAATTATACATATTAAACACATACTTGTTTTACAAAAGGGTAGCAAACTACACCGACCTGAGCTAAGCTCCTTTGATCCCGGCTAACTTCTATTGGTTACCTGCAAAACAAGTAGAGTCATGAGCAACTAACTGCTTAGTGAGTTCGGTTGCTCCTAACCGTACAAGCAACCCTATAAACCTCGATAATTCACACAGTACGCACCACGCAACATCAACAACAACTACATTTGATGCATGATAATACATACTTATTATACATGCATACACCCAATATACACTCAATCGCCAATCTCTCAGATGCCATTGACCGGATCCCGCACAAAGAAAAATCTCACATTTTGCACTAATCGGACCCCCACCACACAGGCCAAAGGTCGCGACTGTCATCTCTCATGCATCACTCATTGACTCGGGATTTCACAACATTCTCATATCCGTCTCGCAAGCCCGGATATCTCATCTCATCTCATGGCTGAGGGAAACGTCATATGGCATCAAAACTCACATCTCTCATCCACACGACACTAAAATATGTGCTAGTGCACGTGCCGTGGATTCACATCGCAATTCAACACGCAATATACACATATATATATATATATATATATATATATATATATATATATCCCTACTTGGTTTGCAGTCAAACAACTAAAAACCCACACCGAGACTCACCTCGGCTTTCCGAGAAAATTATGGTTTCTTAAGATTTCAGATAACCTCCTCATTCACCTACACAACTTAATTTTTACAGAGATCCGACACGAACCGTGCCAAGCACAGGTCAGATTCAGACTCAGGATGGAAAACTAGGTTAGGTAAGTAAGACTTCAGACTTAGATGATCTACCTTAACTTTTCCAGACACGGTGGTTCGCGGTGGTTCATGGTGGTTGGCGGCGGCGGTTCACGGTGGTCGGAAAATTTTTCAAGAGCTTCGCTATCTTTTTCTCTCTGCTGAAAAAATGAAGTTATGAGCCCTATTTATAGAGGTTGAAGAGCGATAGTAAAAAGATTCCCGAGCAGCGGTGTCGTGCTTCCGGAAAGATTTCCAAGCAGCTGTGTCATGCTTTTGTGGATAAGCTTTGCCGGCGTGTGGAAGGCGTGTGCCGATGCGTGAGGAGCATCTGCCGGCACGTGAGAAGCGTGTGCTGGCGCGTGAGGAGCGTGTATCGGTGCGTTTCTGGTGTCCGTCCAAGATGCTCAAGCAGGCAAGCAGGCTGTCGAGTCAAGCTGCTGAGTCAAGCTGCTGAGTCCAGCTGATGAGTCATCAAGCAGCTTCTCCTGACCAACCCGTTTCCTACCTTCCGATCGAACCAAAACGACCCACCGATCCACCCGCGCGACTAAATACTTGACTTCCTTAGACAAAAACTTAACTTCTATAGCCAAAACTTAAAGCTCTTGACCATTAACCTTAGTTGTTTCCTTGCTTTTCTAAGCTTTTTCATTGACCGCATCCTGATCTCTTGAACGAGTTATTACACAGCTTCTCCGACGGGACTTTGATCTTCTCGTATTGGTATAAGTGCTCTGTTCTGTGTAGCGACTATGAGATTGCTTTTAGTCTGGTTTGTGCCTTGTTTATCTTGCTTGCGGAGGAGTTAGTAAGGTTCTTTGTACTTTTCGTTGCTTGATCTGCTCGCCGACATCAGAAGGATCTTGGCTTGAGCCTTTAGCGCTTCTTGGTTCCGTTAGTTAGTGTAGTCCGTTTGGATTTCTAGATCAAGATTTAACAGCTGAGCGTCGAATTGAAGCATGACGTTGAGGACTGTCATTGTTCGGGCCTCCGCTAACTCCTTTGAGGAATAGTTATCTCTTCGGCTGCCGGATGAAACAGCTTCCAATATGCTTTTTAGACTTTTTTTCAGCCTTTCTTCTTGTTTTTCTCCTCTCGTTCATATATTTTCCGTTTTTCTTACCTCGAGATCCTAGGCTTCATATCACTACTGATTTGATTCAATTGCTTCAAAACTTTGGCGTTGATTTTAGTACTGATAGAAATTATTTCCATGTTTTTATTATTTTTTTGGCATGAGAACAATCTTTTGGTTGATCAATTTATTCATTCATTTTGTAACACCATTTTTATTTTCAATGAAATATTTTACCATTTAGAAAAAAAATGCTAAATTCATTGTCTATGCAGATCAATAACTTCCCAACAAAAGGTACACCAGTACAACATAAGCGAATAAATTGATTATCGTGGGACACGTCCGATCAATGCTTAGAGGAAAATATCATTACAAGCGCTCTCGGTTTAACAAGTTAGTTTTTGAGAGTCAAAAGTTAACATTTTACACACAGAATGCTTCATAGTTAATAATATAAACTATGTCTTAAATTTGTTAATGTCTTAGTTTAAATTATTTTGTCGCTAGTCAAAATTATTTCTGGATCCACCAGAGGACCGCATCCTTAGTAAACAAATATATTTGGAACCGAAAAAAACTTATGTACAACGTATATTCAATTCAAGTAATATAAAGACTTACGATATTATACAAATTAAGTTTACTTGTATATGCGTCTGTTAACAAGTATTTTCGAATCGCTAGCTCGCATGAACCTGTGGCTGGATTAAATCTTAAAAATCTAATTGACTACATCGAACTGAACGCGATCTAATCAAATTTTTGGTTGGAAGTGTAGTGAAAGGTAGACGAATCTTGTGCACTATCGTAAACGAGTAAGGTTTGCACAAAATGGGCCGTTATTATAAAGCCCAATGAATTGACCCAAAGCTCTCGAAGTGTTTTTCTTAACCTATCTCTAATTTAGACGCATCCGTATTCCGTAAAAGATATTATACAACTTATCGCTTTGCCTTCTGCTTTTTTCCACCCAAAGTCCAGTTAGCCCCTCGGGTTCTGAAGCCCAAATCTCTAGCTTTCTCTCTCTTTCCCTCTTTCTCTTTGCTCGTCGGAGATCCGCTCGATTCCTCCCTCTCCACTTTGCCGGAGATTTCTCTTCCGCCTTCTTTGTTACACGACGTAGGGATTTCTTCATCCCAGGTATTGCTATGAAAACCCTAACCCTTGACTTTAGTTTCGCCTTTTTTTTAGCTGGATCTATTTTTGCGGATTATTTGTTATTTGTCTCGATCTTCTCGAAATTGATTTCTCAAGCAAGCGATTGGCTAACTCTCTGAAATTCTCAGCTCGATCTGCTCATCCTCAATTTAATCCAACTCCGTCGCCAATTATACTGGGTAGAAAAGTTCTTATTTCTTTTAGGAGCGAAGTTTAAAATTTTTGGTTTGACTCATGAGGCAATTTTGAAAAACTCAAATGGATCAGTCAGTTTAATATAAATGATTAAGAATTATATTTTCTGTTTGTTCAAATAAGGCCGATCGATTTTTTTGAAAACGCTGGTCTCAGACTTTGAATTACGTTCTTGTTGAACCTTTTAACCTGGGCTCTAGTTTTTGTTTTGCAGCCCATGTTTGATCGATTTTAAGGACCTTTAAAAGTCTCAGATCTGTTTTTTTTTCTTTTTCTTTTTCTTTTTCTTTTTCTTTTTCTTTTATGTTGGATCTACGATATAGTTTTTAAAATATTTTGCCCCTGTAATAATATGATTATTTACCATGGGTCGGTGGCCTTCGATAGGCCCAACGCCAACTATTTTTTTTTTATTAAACAATATTAATAGTTTCAGTCCATGTGATTTCTTAGACTTTTCTTCTTATTTAGCTTTTGCTCTAATCATTTACTCGTAAGTTCTTAAACTTTTTTTTAATATGTTAATCTTAAAACTTCATCTACAAACGCAATCTCTGCCTTACTATCAACTAATTATTTCTGTGCTTAATTGGGAATCATCGAATGCTACTACTGGTCATTCTCTGTAACAAGAATGGTCCCATCTATCTCATCTGGTAGTCCCATTAACTTATAAAATCTTTGTTATATCTTAAACGTACAACAACAAATATAGTCTCTGAATTATTCGAATAAATTATGGGTTGTGGGCTTAATGGGTAATCTTTACCTTGTCTATTACTTGGTTCTTCGTCATTATATTTAGATAAATATTTGGTTTTCATTCTCTGTAGCAAAAGATGGAGACAGCATTGGAGGTGTACAATGACGTTGAGATGAGATCACCAGAGACACAACCGATCAAGCGACGCAAGAAGAAGTCAAAGGTGTGGGAAAACTTCACAATCAAGAACACAGAACCTGGTTGCAGAAGGGCTTTCTGCAAAGGATGTAATCAGAGCTTTGCATACAGCAGTGGAACCAAAGTGGCTGGCACTAGCCATCTTAAGCGTCACATTGATAAAGGGACTTGTCCTGCACTTTACCATGCCCAGAACAATGACAACAACAACAACAACCAACTGATGACTCCCTACACGCCCAAGAGTGACACACCGAGAAGGCGTTACCGAACTCAGAACAGTAGTCCCTATGTTGCGTTTGATCAGGACAAGTGTCGCCAAGAGATTGCTAAGATGATCATTATCCATGACTACCCTCTTCACATGGTTGAACATCCAGGGTTCGTTTCCTTTGTGCAGAGTCTTCAGCCTCAATTCGACGCTGTGAGCTTCAACAATGTTCAAGGAGACTGTGTCGCGACTTACCTTGTGGAAAAGCAGAATGTCATGAAGTCTTTAGAAGGCATTCCTGGACGCTTCTGTCTGACGCTGGACTTCTGGACTTCGAAGCTAACTCTTGGTTATGTGTTTTTAACCGGTCACTTCATTGATAGCGATTGGAAGATACAGAAGAAACTTCTCAACGTTTTGATGGAATCCTATCCAGAATCTGATGGAGCTTTGAGTCTTGCTGTTGCTAATTGTGTTTCTGAATGGGGTCTGGAGGGAAAGTTGTTTTCCGTTACCTTCAACCATCCTGCGAGTAAAACCGCGGTTGAAAACATCAGACCTCTAATCTGCATCAAGAATCCTGGGATTCTGGATGGTCAGCTGGTTATAGGGAATTGCGTTGCTCGAACATTTAGTGGACTCGCTAAAGATGTACTGGATAAAGGAAAAGATGTGATCAAGAAGATCCGGGACAGTGTGAAGCATGTGAAAACCTCTGAGTCCCATGAGGAGAGGTTTGTTGAGCTAAAGGAACAGCTTCAAGTTCCGAGCGATAAGGCACTTGCGCTTGATGATCAGACGCAATGGAACACAACATATACGATGCTCGTGGCTTCTTCAGAATTAAAGGAAGTGTTCGATTGCTTAGACACTGCTGATCCCGACTTCAAGCAACCTCCTTCAACAGAGGATTGGAGGCATGTAGAGACACTTTGCACATTCCTTAAGCCTCTTTTCGAAGCAGCCTCCACTCTTCAATCTACTGAAAACCCGTCTGCTGTTACTTTCTTCCACGAAGTGTGGAAGACACAGTCAGATCTGTCTCGGGCGATAGCCGGAGAGGATCCTTATGTCGCGGGTATTGCTAAAACCATGAAAGAGAAAGTTGACAAGTACTGGAGGGACTGTAGTTTGGTTTTGGCAATGGCAGTGGTGATGGATCCTCGGTTCAAGATGAAGCTCGTGGAGTTCAGTTTCTCCAAGATATTTGGAGAAGACGCAGGGAAGAATATCAAGACCGTTGATGATGGGATCCACGAGCTCTTCAGTGAATACATGACGCTCCCGTCGCCTCTAAAACCTACATCCGAAGGTGGGAAAACAGACGGACTGTCGGATTTCGACACGTACATCATGGAGACAACGGGGCAGAATCTGAAATCAGAGCTGGACCAATACCTTGACGAAACGCTGCTTCCCCGGGTTCAGGAGTTTGATGTTCTCGACTGGTGGAAACAGAACAAGCTCAAGTACCCGACGTTGTCAAAGATGGCCAGAGACATCCTCTCAATCCCGGTCTCGGCTGCAGCCTTTGACAACGTCTTTGACATGGAACCGAGGGAGATGGATGAGTACAAGACGTCCCTGAGGCCTGAGACTGTGGAGGCTCTGATTTGCGCCAGGGAATGGCTTCTTGAGAGTGATGCTTCTTCTGCAGCAGCTGCGCAAATGTCAAATGCTATTGTCAAAACTGAAGCGTAAGTGTGACTATGCTTCATCGTTATCTTTAATCGTTGTTGTTTTCTAGCAGTTGATATGTCTTTTGTGGGATTAGTCTTAAACCCACCGTGTGACTTGCAATTAGGAATATTTCCTTTTTTATGATATCTACTGCACATTTTTAAGTTGCTTCTTCACATTTTTAAGTTACTTCTTCCTACGTCTATATGTTGCTCAAATACAATTCAATGAACCCATCCTCAAATTCTAAGACTGAAACTCTTCAATCCAATGTTTTAATTAAAAAAAAAAAAAAGGATAGGAAACTGATTCGCACGCGTCTGGCCGGGTAGACCGGGTTTCTCTTTTTAAATCATCCTCTATACATTAAACGGGAAGAATTTGAAAGCCATTTTACTGAGGTGTCGCTCCCACAATTTTTCTCAGCAATTTTCTTTTAAATAATTCATTATATTCCACCTATGATTATTTCCTTATTTATATCTTTCCGCCAATTAGAATTTAATTTTTTATTTACTAATTTTTTCATTCGTTTTCTTTATTTAGCTCAACTGACTTCTTTTAAAATTTTTGATTTATACATACATAATTTTCATCTCATCTACCTTATTTTCAACACAAAACAACTATATACTAATTTAAATTGTCAAAGCAATCGATTGATTAACAAAATTTAAATTTAAATTATTACTATTTTTATTTTCTTATTTTTATGCAAAATTTATATTCACATTCATATCATAAATCAACATTCTGAGAAGTACAAATTTAATTATTCTACATAATTACTATTATACAAATGAGGTATGTATTTATACAAATGATGATATACATGAGCCCATATTTGCGCTTCATAAATTTCAAATCTTATCTACAATATTGTTTATATTAATGTGTCAATATACGTGATCCCATAATCTCGGTTCATTTAATTTAAAAAATTAATTACCGTAATAATGAAGAAATAATAACTCCACCTTAAACTTTTCTCCGAATTTCTCGACACAATTATATGGTTACACATAAATGGAATCAATGTATGCATATTCCTAATTCATCAGTTCATAATTATATTACCTTCCTATATTATCGTAACCGTATCAATCTGAAATTATATAACCACCTTACAAATCATTGTTTGGATAGTCTAAACAATCCCTATATTTCCGATATATTTTAGATGCATTGTACCTACCTAAATCAAAATATTTCGTATTTCCGTATATGTAGGAGTAATTAAACAAAATAGATCCTTTATGGAAAACAAGCAATATTGCAATTTAAAATATATCAAAATTGCCTAAATCTAACATATTTCAACGTCATTTCAAATTCAAATTCATAATTGACCGCCTACAATATTTTTCCTCTTCTAAAGATTGTATCGAAAATTTACCCTAGACTCACCACATTCGTCATTTCGCTATATATAGTTACCACTGTTGATATCGAATTCATCACACCAGCTAAGCAATATTTAGCTTACATACTCCCTCTTGCAAAGTTTGCAATGTCGACGTTCACATCCCTCACTGCCCTAAAGCCATTCAAAACTCAATGGAGGATCCGTGTCAAGATACTGAAGTTGTGGAAACAATATTTGAATGGGATCGAGACGATGGAGATGGTCATTGTCGATGAACTGGTATTGTTTTGTACTTTGTTTGTTCGATATTCATACTGTTTCATTTTGATCATATATATATTATTTAACCTTTTGCTTATTATTATATTGCCATGCAGAATCAAACTATGCATGTTAGTATGAAGAAGCAGTTCATAAAAAAATTTGAAAATCTTCTAGAGGAAGGAACTACTAAGATCATCACTAATTTTCAAGTCACTCACAACGGTGGTAAGTTCAGGACTACTTCTCATGTTTACAAGATCCAGTTTGCTGCCACGACGTCTGTCAGACCTTCTGAAGATCTGGATGCCACAATTCTTGGGTTGAAGTTGGTGAACTTCGCTGATATTCACGAGGGCAAGTTGAATCATGATTTTCTAATAGGTAAATGGTATATTTATATCTCGCATACATTACTAATATGAACCAAAGCATATTACATCTAATTATTGGTTTATGCTTTTATTTTACAGATATTGTTGGACAAATTGTTAGTATTGGTGAGGTTGAGATTCTCAACGTTAACAAAAAACAGACCAAACGTCTAACAATGACACTTCGTGACACCAGGTTTTTAATTCCCTTTGACACCTAAATATTGTTAATAAGACGTCTAATATATTTTTTGTCTTTTAGTGATGTGCGCCTGAATTGTGTTCTCTGGGGGAATTATGCCGAAAGTTTGGAGAGTGTTACTACACATGCAACTAATGCTACCATTTGTTTCGTGTTAAGATTTGGAAAGTTAAGATTGTATCAAGGTACAAAACAAATGTTTTTGTTAACAAACAAAAAATCGTTTTTTAAAAATATATATAACTTTCAAGACATTTCATTATTTAGGTGGATGGAGTATTGGCAATTGTTACAGTTCTTCCATTGTGATGACAGATCCTGATCTCCCTGAAATAAATTCTTTTAGAAACCGGTATATTCATATCTATAACTTTTATCAATTTTCCATTTAGTTTACTTTCATGTCACTAAAATCCATGATTTTTTTTTCCTTTACAGCTTACCAAAAGATGATGTGACTTTGTCATACACACACCCTAACCAATTGACCATTGTCAATTCTGTTTCTGTAAGAGATGATTTCTTCTTACATACCCCTCGCCGGACAATAAGTGAAGTACTTGGTGCATCTGAGGTATTTATTTTGCGTGATATACATATTTCTTAAACAACAAATGGCGATTGGGTTTTTAGAAGAAAGTAATGCTTCAATTATTAGGTTGAAAAATGTGTGACTATGGCTACCATCATGTCTATTGACACTGAGTTTGGATGGTACTATATGTCATGCAAAGTATGCTCTAAAAAGGTGCTTCCTCTTGATATGGATTTTAATATGATTCTCCCTGAAATCGACACTCACTAAACTGGATCAGAGGGGATAACCTTGCACACAAGCGAATTGTATCAAGATTGTGGGTTTAGATAAGACTCCAAGGGTTGCGGAAGACCCTTGATGAATGGTTTCCGAATCAACTAAGGATATTACACACCAAAGATGAATCGAAAGGACTTGAAGGATATTACACACCAACAAGAGGGTTTGATCTTACTTAGAAAGATTTTGATTAAAAGATAAGATGGTCTCAAAAGAGAGTTTACAAGCGAATATAAAGAGAAACACATGTGAGTCTACAAAGCATTAAAGTGTCTAGGAACTAGTTCTTTGATAGCTGGCCAAGTTTGAATTCAAACTCTTCTTCACACGCTCCTCTTCTTCTTCTTTGGACTCGGCTGATGGGCTTAGATGTGAGGTGATCCAAACTATGCCTCATTAAAAACCTATCTCAAGAAAACCCATTGGGACAAAACTTGAGATAGGGAAAAAGAGTACATAGTTGGATCACAAGCCCATTAGCCTTCTCGGACTTGGATCACAACTAGTGTAGTTGTGCCCATCTCTTTTCCCTTCTGTTCCACAAGCGTTCCTTGCTTAAGTATTTCCCCAACAGCTTCTTTGAGCCTCTTAGCCTTTGCTCGGGTCATGGGACCTTTTGTAATGAGCAAAGGGTCTTCTTGTTCCGTTTCCTGATCCTTGTCTTTGCTTCTCAGCTCCTTAGCTCCTTGCGGTTCTCCATCTGGTTCCCACTCGTTATTGATGCTATCCAAGATCATATCAGATTTGTTGAAAGAGCAATATCCTGGTAGGCCATTTCCTAAACAGTTGTGGAAATGTGGCAAATGTAAGGATGATGTTGAAAGTGTCGTACCAGCGTAAGTCTTGGATGCAATTTGTAGAGAAAAAAGAATATTTGTAATTTCCATATATATTCATATTCATATGTTGTTCTATGCTAACATAGGTTTATGCTGACTTTCCGTGTTATGGACAACACTGGCGAAACAAAGTTCTTACTCTTTGATAAGCTTGCCATGGAAGTTGTAAATCAAACAGCTGCACAATTGACTGAATATGTGGAAGAGGTAGTTATGCAGATTACTATCAACTCTATTATAGTGAATCTTACTATATATATTAGATATGCTTATATGTTTGCTATACTGCTTGCAGATCCAAGATCCAGATGTACTCCCTCTTCCAATTAGTAACATTTGTGGGAAAACTTTTCTGTTCAAGCTATCTATTGAGAGTTCAAACATCGTTTTCAACAGTAATGTTTACAAAGTTACAAAGATTGTGACCCAAAGTGACATGGTCAAAGAATTCTCAGAAATATCCGGATTTATGGTTTGATCCCTAAACTATTTATTCCTAATAGTATTTATTCATATTTCATTGCATTTTGATCATTGTTAACTTATTGTTTTATTTATAGACTACCCCTGATGTCAAGTCTGAGGAAATTGAGTTTATAACTCCCGATGAACAGGTTTGCTATTTAGGAATTAGATGCCTCTCATTAATATTATATGACTGTGCATAAACGTATTTGTTTAAATTTGTCATTTTAGGTTCCTAAGATGTTACTTGACAGCGGCGACGATGATAATTCACCACAGTCAAAAAGGAAAAGCGATGAGATGATTGACTTTGATGATCATAATGGAGAGCAGTCTACTTCTAAGAAAGCTGCTAATGGGGACATGAAGGCTTTGGCGAGTGAAGTAAAGATTTATCTGAAGCCTGTTAAAAAGGAGAAAGTTGATGACTGAAGTCTTTGTTTCTTTAACAATATGCATTCTCCTGCTTGCTTTGTTTTTTAGGATTTACTACAATATCTCATTGTTTAAGTTTCGGTTATTTTTTTCCTAGCCCGTAGGATTTGTCTTTTTCCGTTTACAGTTTTGCTGTGGTTTGTTATTTGAAGTTTAATAAAAGCAGGAATTTTAAACTATATTATGTTTTGCTACTTAATTAGTAACTGCTGAATTTTAATTTATTAGTATAAATAACAAAGTAAAATACCTGCATGTACAGAAGGTTTCGCCAAACTCAAGCCTAATATGAAAAGAAATTCTGCATGGCAATTAAATTTACAACATTCATGCAAGATATTTGGAGTCATTAATACTTTGGCAATACATATATTTTTTTAGCACTTACAATTACAGTTGTATCCTAAAACAACTCTGTATTTAAATATAAAATTAGAAATATATTTACATTTTACAAAATTAGGAAAACGATCGTAACTACTATATTTTGTCGTATATAGATGCTAATTGGTGAATATTAACACAACCAATCATAATTAAAAGAACTTAAACTAATTCCTAAAGTTTCCATGTTTAGATAAATTTTCAAATTATTTGTAATCTTAACAAATCTTTAGAATATTGTAACTATCCTATTAAGATGCATACTACTTTTAAATTATTAATATTAAATATATCCTACGCATATATCGATTCTCTACATTCTCACAAATCTGTAGAAAAATGAAAAAGAACAAAAATTCGTCTTCTGCAATGGATAAAGATCATGACATCTTAACCAAAAGACCTAAACTGGATTTCATCAACCCAGGTATAAAAGTTATGGTTCATTCGCTAATAAACTCAAATTTATACTCGGGTTTGTATATTCTTAAGAAAGTACAAAAAATTACTTAAGAATCCGATTTATAAATGTTATATCTAAAAGTTCCACATATATTTTTGTATTATTTACAGAACACAATGGAGATATTCAAGTTACCCCTGCACGAGTACCATTACTAGTACCTATCTCAAATCCTGATGATTTCGAAAATAACGTTAGAGATATCATTAATATTCAGAACCCCCCGACCACTTCAAGTACTCGGAAAAGGAATCAATGTAGTTTGAGTACGTATTATATTTATTTCCTATGGGCCAAGATGAAACATCATTGAACAACTTATATTGCTCAACTATTTATGATTGTTTGGTAATTAGATAATAAACATGGAGTGAAACATCGAAGTTTTTATTATATACAGATGCCAATGGGGAGAATGAAGTTACCCCTAAACGAAAAGCATTGCCAGTTCCAATTTCAATTCATGGTGTTTTCCGAAATATATTAGGAGATATCAGTAATACCCGAACTGGCCCCAGTGCTGCAAGTTATCCTAAAAGGAACCAACTTAGTCCAAGTACGTAGTTTATTTATTTTCATTGTAATCGATTTATTCATTGACAACTGCATTATCTTTAAATTTTGTTGTTCTCCTGTAACATCAGTAACAGGAAAAGAAAATTACACAGGTACACAAACAAGTATTTTTTTAACCCTTCTTCTTTATGTTTAGTGGTAACTTAATGAAACCTCTTTTATAACTAAATTATTTTCTTTATAATATCTAGCAAGTCCAGTCACTCCATGTTATGGCTCAAATCAATTTCTGCCAACTATACCAACATCAAATATTTGTGATAGTCGATATTCTACATCAGGATACTCAAATATCACATATAACCAAAATCCTGATACGACCAGAAGGAAAAAAACTCAATCAAGTAAGCTTATTTTTATATATTTAGTTTAATATTTTGTTTATTATTTTAAAAAATGTTAAATACTTATGACTACTTTGTTTCATATTCATTTTCAGGAAAATTAGATCAACCCATTGTTGGAAATCATGTTTTACCCGATAGAAACATGACAGATGTCACAAGAAATCTCAAATTCAACGATGGACCTTCAAGTTCAAGAAATAAAAATCTAGAATTGAGTCATCCATCTAAAAGTTCTAGAACTGCACGTACGTTTATATTTCTTTCAATTCAATCTCTATTGTATCACTTAGGTTTTATATAATGAGTTTTTCATTTTTTGATTTACATCAACTAGCAAAACTAAGAGATGATCCATCAAGATACAACACATGTGAAAAGATTGAGTCTGCCCGTATCCTTAATAACTTAGTTGTTATATCCTGATTGTTTATATACTTGCTTAATTAAAGAGATTGCTCTATCACAATTGTGTCCTTCATATTATCAATTAATAGTTGTTTCGTTTTGGAACTCTGCTATGGAGAAAGCAATGCAACCATGTAATAAATCACCTAAAACTACTTCGCAATCAGGTATCATGTATTAAATATATACAAATCTTTGTTTATAATTATGATGTATATGACATAGAAATTATATTTTATCTTATCTAACATTTTGATAAGTTGGTTTATGAAAATAGGCTCTGTTACTTCATCGACTTCTACTTTATCTAACAACCATGGAAAAAAATCAGGAAGGAAAAGGAAAGGTATAATCATGTATTAGTGGGTAATTGTTAAATACTTTAATTTAATTTTGGATGTATTTTAATTGTTAATATTGCTTTAATATTTGTATAGATACATCCAATGTTCCTATTCCTCAATCACAAAGTAATCCACTAAGTAACATTACCAATTCCATTTTTGAAAATCAAAGATTGTCAAGGATTAATAGGAGACAGGTTATCTTGAAAAAGAGACATGCAAACATTCAAGCTTCAGGTATATATATTCATATTTCTTTCCACAATATTATTAATCATGGTCGTGTATTGTAAGGTATTCTATTGGTTATCGTCATTATGATTAAAGTTTTCTATATTATTTACTTCAATAAACATTACTGTGTTGTCAGGATCTTCGACAATCTATGATCCAAGTGGTTTACAATCTACACTATCATTGGAAGGTGTAGAAAGGAATTATACACCTGCAAATGATCATGGCGTCCCTGAATGTAGTACTGTTCAATCTTAATTAGATATTGGACCTGTAATTCAGCCTAATGGTAACGTAGTTGACTTTGGATGTATCAGCTTACTGTTTACTGATATATAATAAATTAGAATTCGTCATGTTATAGGGTACTACGATGATGGCGACCCTATTTATCATTGTACACACTGCTCTGCCCGTATGTGGTTTAACGAGAGGATCAGCAAGAAAAAAAAATTGAAGGCATACATTTTCACTCTTTGTTGTATGCAAGGAAAAGTAAAGCTCCCAATGTTACAACAACCTCCTCCTCTACTGTTATATCTCTTCACAAGTGACGATGAGATTTGTCGTCATTTCCGTGAAAATATTAGAGCATATAACATGATGTTTTCTTTTACCTCTATAGGAGGCAAAATAAATCATGATATAAACAAAGGTAAAGGACCACAGGTTTTTCAGCTACATGGTGAAAACTACCATCTTATTGGTAGTTTGATGCCTAATGCAAATGAGAAACCCAAGTTCTTACAGCTTTATATTCACGATACAATTAATGAGATTCGTAATAGAGAACTTTCATTAAGGTACATAATTATTAATTCATTGTTTAATTCTGACTGTGTTTACGTAGACTAATTTTCACCATGCTTTAACATTTTTCATTTACAGCAAGAATGGTAAAATTGACCACAAGCTACGGCCTGAGCTAATTGAAGCTTTAATGAAGATGTTAAACCATTGCATCCGTTGGTTAAAGCTTTTCGTTTTTACAAGGACAGGTACCAAAATTCAGATATTGAGGATACTGTCCGAATGGTTCTAATAGCCAAGAGAGACAAAGATGCTAGAACACATAACTTGCCAACTGCAACGGAAGTTGCTGCATTAATTCCTGGTGATTTTGAAGAAGGGTTAGACAATAGAGACATTATGTTAGAAGCAAAGGATGGAAGTCTTCGAAGAATCAGTGAATTATACGTTGGTTATCTAGCTCTGCAATATCCTCTATTATTTCCTTACGCTGAAGATGGCTATCAAGTTGGTATTGAAGATGGTTTTTCACATAAAGAGGACAGAAAACGGAAGACTATCAGCATGAGAGAATATTATTCATATCGAATTCAGGATAGGTTGATGGAATCTCAGGCAATAATTCGGTCTAAACGACTATACCAGCAATTTTTGGTCGACGTATTTACAATGATTGAAGCTAATAGATTACGATACTTCAGGAACAACCAAGTCAAACTTAGGTCTGAGAAGTTTGTAAATTTAGTTGAAGCGCATAATGAAGCCAAAGTGATCTATCCAATACTGGAAAACGTATTTTGATTCATGCATCATTCACTGGTGGTTCTAGGTACATGAATAACAATTACTTGGATGCAATGGCTATTTGTAAATACTTTGGATTTCCCGATTTATTTATCACTTTCACTTGCAATCCAAACTGGCCAGAGATTGTTAGGTATTGTCAGAAACGAGATCTCAAACCTGAAGACAGGCCTGATATTTGTTGTCGTATATTCAAGATGAAGCTGGAATCCCTAATGACAGATTTGACTGAAAAAAAGTTGTTTGGTGAAACTGTTTGTGGTATATTTTAGTAAATCGAGTTTATGTCATTTCATATACTAATATCATATATTTTACGATACTGATTATGTATTATACTATTTGACAGGAATCTATACAATTGAATTTCAGAAGAGAGGACTTCCTCATGCTCATATTTTGATTTGGATGGCATCGAAATACAAATTTCCTACACCTGAATGAATAGATAAAGTAATATCAGCTGAGATTCCTAATAAAGAAACTGATCCTGAGTTATATGAAGTTGTGAAGCAGAACATGATACATGGTCCATGTGGTAATATAAATAAGAGTTCTCCATGCATGGTAAATGGACGGTGTTCCAAGATGTTTCCAAAGAAATACTGTGACCGGACTGTTGTTGATAACATTGGTTTTCCACATTACATGAGGAGACAAACTGATGATTTTGTTGAGAAAAATGGTATCAGACTTGATAACAGTTGGGTTGTTCCATATAACAAGAAGTTATCTTTGCGTTATAGAGCACATATCAATGTTAAGTGGTGTACACAAGCTAGATCAATCAAGTATTTATTCAAATACATCCACAAAGGTCCTGATAGAGTTTTAGCTACTATCGAGAATAATGCCAAAGACATTGGTGAGTTTGCGAACGAGGATGGTGACGAGGCATCTGAAGTTACTAAAGATGAGATTAGAGAGTATTTTGAATGCAGGTATTTATTGTTTATCGAACTTACACTTATAAGTATTCAACACTTATATTGTCGTTTTCCTCATATGTTTAACTATCTATAATTTGCTTAATATATCAACAGATATGTATCTGCTTGCAAAGCATCTTGGCGTATACTTGCTTTTGCAATACATTATAGAAGTTTTCCTGTGGAAAAATTATATTTCCATCTCCCTGGAGAACAACCATTCGTGTATGGTGATGATGACCCAGTAGAAACAGTTCTTAATCGCAGATCAGTTCAGAGTTCAATGCTACTTGCTTTCTTTGAAGCTTGCGACAAATATCCTGAATTATCGAAGAATCTCACCTATGCCGAATTCCCAATAGTGTTTATATACGACAGAAAAGAGGTTGAGTGGAGGCCAAGACAAAAGAGTATGGCTATAGGGAGACTAACATATGTTCCTCTATCATGTGGTCAGCTTTACTATTTACGTGTATTGCTAAACAGGGTCCAATGTCCAACCAGTTTTGATTTTTTGAAAACAGTTGACAAAGTTTTATATCCTACATTCAAGGATGCATGTTATGCTTTGGGTTTGCTAGATGATGACACTGAATACATAGAAGCTTTGAAAGAAGCAAGCATTTGGGGATCCGGATCTTTCCTAAGGAAACTTTTTGCTGTTATGCTCATTACGGATAGTATTCTTAATCCATGTGGAGTTTGGAATGAGACTTGGCAACTTCTTTTAGATGATATCATATATCGACGAAGGAGATTAGAAAACAGAGAAGGTATTTTCCTTAAATATTTGGAACAAAATATATATCTATGACATAACCATCATATTATATTTTATTAATTGTTTCCATCGTTTGTTGTAGATTTAACCCTTTCTGAAGACCAGCTCAAAAATTATACATTGGATGCAATTGAGATAATTATGCGTAGCAATGGAAGTTCTTTGGCTTATTTTGATGGTATGCCTCTTCCATCTGATGGTTATCATAATGCTTCCATTAACCGATTGTTATTCGATGAAAGGAATTATGATAAGGATGAGATGTCTGCTCTCCATAATAAGATGCTTCCTGGTTTAACTGAAGAGCAGATGAAAGTATACTCAGAGATAATGGAAGCTGTTACATTAGACCAAGGTGGTGTTTTTTTCCTATATGGGTTTGGTGGAACAGGAAAAACACATTTATGAAAAATTTTGTCTGCTGCCATTCGTTCTAAAGGACAAATTGTATTAAACGTGGCCAGTAGTGGTATAGCTGCTCTTTTATTGCCTGGTGGAAGAACAACTCATTCACAATTTGGAATTCCTTCAAATCCAGATGAGCTATCTACTTGCAATATGCATCCAGGATCAGATTTAGCTACATTAGTGGCTGAGGCCTCATTAATCATTTGGGATGAAGCTCCTATGATGAGTAAATTTTGTTTTGAGAGTTTAGATCGGAGTATGCGTGATGTTATTCCTAGGCATAAAGATAAACTTTTTGGTGGAAAGGTTGTTGTCTTTGGTGGTGATTTCCGACAAGTCTTGCCTGTTATAACTGGTGGTGGAAGAGAAGATATCACAAGGGCATCTCTATGTTCTTCTTATCTATGGGACGAATGTAAAGTTTTGAAACTAACAAAAAACATGCGTTTATTGGCAGACATTGATGCAAGTGTTGCAGAAGAAATCAAATCTTTTTCTGAATGGATTCTTCGGGTAGGCGATGGTAAGGTTAATCTACCAAATACAGGGGAAATCATGATTGATATGCCCGAGGAACTTTTGATAACAGAGTGCAATGAGCCAATTAAGGCTATTGTTGAATCTGTTTATGGATTAGGATTTGAAGAACAAAACGATCCTAACTTTTTCCAGGAAAGAGCAATTTTATGTCCAACTAATGATGATGTATGCGCGATTAATGATTACATGATGTCTGCTCTTCGAGGTATAATCTATATACATAATCATTATTTTTTATTTTGTTGGCTTATTTTATGTAGTACTATGATTTTTAATAATATCTTATTAACTGATCATTTTTGTAAACAGGTGAAGAGAGAGTTTATCTTCAGATTCTATAGATCCATCAGATACTTCCAATCATGACAGTAGTGTTTATACTCCAGACTTTTTGAATAACATAAAGATTTCTGGTTTACCTAATCATTGTATAAAGTTGAGGGTAGGAGCACCTGTCATGTTGCTAAGAAATATTGATCCCAATAGTGGGTTATGCAATGGAACCAGGCTTCAAGTGACTCAACTAGCTGATCACATCATTGAAGCAATTGTGTTAACAGGGCATACACTCGGTCAGAAAGTCTATATACCTAGATTGTCTGTTTCACCTCCTGAAGGCAAATTCCCTTTCAGAATGAGACGGAGACAATTCCCATTGATGGTCTCATTTGCAATGACCATCAATAAAAGTCAAGGACAAACATTCTCAAGTGTTGGTTTATATTTGCCTAGACCTGTTTTTTCACATGGTCAGTTGTATGTTGCTCTATCCAGAGTTAAGTCTAAAGCAGGTTCTCATTGTTGACAAAGAAGGCAATCCACAGAAACAGACCATGAATGTCGTCTTCAAAGAAATATTCCAGAAGCTTATCAAGTAGAACTATTTGGTAAGTTACTATTTTTTATATTCTTTATATATTTGATTTATATATGATGAATTGTTACTAATTGGAAGGAAAATTTATTTTCAGGAAAATTTATATAAAACTCTTCCTTGGAGCGAATAATCATTCCACATTTTTTACCATTTAAGTTTTTATAGCTATGCAAAACAATTGTAATTCGTATACAATGATATTTTTTGTTATATATTTGTTCGAAATCATTGAAATGGCCTTATATGTATTACATTATCAAATTATTCAGCACTTAGTGATTTTATATATATACTGAATGAAAGAAGTTGTATGAGATTTTAAATAAAAAATTATATGAATGTTTGTATAGATACTAAATGATTGATATAGTAGCCATACATATATATGATCTTTGTTATTATAGTTTCCGAGATTAGTACATGACTATAAGATATATGACCATGTATTTAATTTAATCAAGATTTACGAGTATTTGGTTGATTCGTAATCTTTCTGTTACCTAATATATTTCTCATTAGTTAAGTTAATCAATAAAACCCTAACACGTTAACTCCTTTCTAATTCATATATATATGTTTATCTTTTACATATAGAATCTCATTCTCTAAATCAGACTTAAATAGAAAACAAAATGTCTCTTCTTATTGACAAAGTTTCGGATCTTGATCAGTTTACAACAGAATGGACTGTGCGTCTTAAACTAATTAAGAAGTGCAAGCACTACAGTCGACATAAAGGGACTACTCTTGATATGAATATGATAGATATCGAGGTTAAAAATATGATATCTATATTATAATCTACTTATATATTTTGTTAAACTAATGGCTAATAACTGGTGTTTTGTTTTCTCTGACAGGGTAATAAGATCCAGGCCAGAGTTACAAAGAAATTGATTGAGAAGTATGATTGTTTACTGATTGAGGGATCATGGTTTGAAATCGATGAATTTGCTGTTATCCAAATACCATCGTGTAACACTAATCGATCATACAACAAAATGATTCAATTCATAATCTCTACCACGGTTAAACCACTTAATCATTTTGAGGGTACGTATGTTACATATGTCATCATATATTTATATCTAATTATGAAATACTATTGAATTGTGATCGTTATTTATGTCGAAAATGTATAGTCAGAAGGACATGTTTCAATGGTAGGAGGTGCACCCTATACTATTGATTTAAATAGGTAATCGTGATTATGTGGACATTTCATTTATATTTGAACTGATGAATGCATATACTATTAAGAAATTTATGTGTTTTGATATTAACAATATATGTTTGTTGAACTATGTAGGTATAGAGGATGAGCACATGGATGCGGCATGAATAAGACAACAATTCAAAATAATCTAGCAGATACATATCGAATTAGATTATCTGTTAGACTTTTATTTTTTTGTTATATTTTAATTTTTTGTTCTATCGACCTTTATGATATTTTTTATTTTATCTACCTCAATAATACTTGGTTTAATTCAGTTCAATTTATCATAGATGAATTTTTAAAGTGAATAATTATTTAGACAAACAATATGTAAATTTTCCAAGTTGATGATTCCGAATTAACAAAGTAATGAATTAGAAGACAAAACATATATAAATTACAAGGATTTCATATTTAAACACCATACTATAAATAGTTTAATTTAACCGACAATTACCAAAGACATCATATATGAAAAACACATTATGGTAAACAAATATTTACCTAAATATATGTATGAATCAACTGAAGATATTTTTTATGGAAATATTTGTATGAATCTACTCGCCTAAATACTTAAATGTATTTTTGTGGGAATATATGTATGATTTTATGTTTAGATATATTTTATATCCTTATTCACTATGAAAAACATATTTCACTATATTCAATACATCTCATAAAAATTAGTTTGACTAATATGAGTTTGCCTAAATATATTCAATTTCAGAAAAGCTGCATACTTAGCAGAAAGAGTTCAGTTGATTGACCGATGCATATACCCTTTTCCAAAATGAATAAATCTTTCAATAAAGTAAATTGTATTACCGTATTGGTTACATAATCGGTTTCCAATCCCTTTAACGTGTAGGGTTTTATTTTAAGAATTTAATTATTATATATCCTGTCAAATAAGATATCCTTATCGTCCAACTTTTGTAACATCCATTTTATTAAATTGCTTTCCTCTCTTTCAAACAGAAATCTACACACTAGGGTAATGGCTTCTTATGACCACATCAACGATTTGCATCTTGATAGAACAAATTGGAGCCTCCGAGTTAAGGTACTGAAGAAATGGATCGATCAAGGAACTCCTAATCGTGATTCGTTACAGATGATGCTCATGGACGAAGAGGTTTGTTAACTATAATAATTCCTAATTTCTTATATTGGTTATTTTGGAACATAACTTTTTCTATACAGGGTGATATGGTTCAAGCATATCTGCATCATGCCGGTTTGATTAAGTTATATGATAGAGAAATTAACGAGGGTGATTGGAAGACTATCAAAGATTTTGTGGTCTTTGAAGATCCATTACCAGAACCAAATTCTCCAATCGGTTGGGCTATACAGTTATTGGAAAATACGACTATAACTGATACTGAACCAAGGGAAGTGGAATCTGGAAAGGGCTTCTATTCTTTCTCAGAAATTATTAAAGGCGAAGCCGATTCTGAATTCTCTGTTGGTAAACATTCTAACTTTATATTCAAATTCAATATTTATTGAGATAGGTGTATAATATTTAGGTTGATAAGAACTGATTAGGTCCTTATATATATGTATACAGATCTTTTGGGTTTTGTTATTAGTACTGAAGAACTAAAGGTTATAAAAGATCAAACTTGCCCAAATAGGCCTAACAAAATGACTCCTTCTATTACTTTCACAATGAAGGATCACAAGTAAGCATTGCTCATTATGTTGTTTTTTATAGTTTAAGTTTTTCTAAAAGGGTAATTATATACTTCATATTTTTCGTGTAGTGATATGCAGATTCAGTGCAATGCCGTAGGACAATTAGCTGTTGATTTCAATAACAAAATATAGGATGTTAGACAAATTCCTGCTTTGTGTCTTCTAACTGATTGGAGTATCAAAAATGATGGAGGTTTGTGTTACAGTATAACTCTTTATATCTTTTTTTATAAATATGGTGACATGTTTTTAAAATACACGTGTTTATTTACAGGTAATATATATCTCAAAAGCAGAGGTGGAATAGCAAGATTTGAATTTCACCTTGAGTTAGAAGTAGCGGAATCCTTTTGTAAAATGTAATAATTTTATTTTGTCAATCTTACTTTTTCACTAATTTGTTTACATAAATCATAACTATTTTTATATATGTCATTTGTCTAACTAGGTTTTGGAATAATGAGAAGAAATCAAACAAGTCAAAAGGAGCAATGAAGAATGATGCCGAGGCTACATCATCATCGAAGAAGCAGAAGAAATGAAATATTGATTATTTTTTGAATTTCCTGTGGGATGATAAATAAGATACATTATGTTCTTATCTTTTGTTAAGTTTAAATATTTGGACATTATATTTTGCTTTATCTATATAAATTGTCTGCTTATTAGTATTATAAAATTTCTCTCATAATACATACATCGCATAGTATTGATATGTATATATATGTTTGAAATTTGCATTATGAGATAGCTAATATATATATTCAGTTGTCTCGAAAAATTATTTCATATGAAAATATAAACATAGTTTAGTTTTCTTATTTTATGATCTTATATTTTTTCCATATTGTCTCTTAAATATGTGAATTAATTGTATATACTCATTATTTTAATCAGTAAACAGAATATAACTATATGATACAAATATTACAAGTTACTATTCATTCAATGATTATCATTGCAATGTTGAATTCTATTTTTGCGATGCACTTGATCTGATACATGTCCTTATAACCTTCTTACTAAAATATCATAATTGCATAAAAAAATTTATATCCAACTATCAAATCTGAACAAACCATTCCATCCATAGACATTGATAATATTGGAAATAATTTTATCTTTGAAGATTCAATAAAAGAATTTCAACGTTATTGTCAGTATATTCATTATTTAGAGAATCTATGTTCATGTAAATCTATTCCCTAAATATCTTTGACTTGATATATACCAACTTCCTACTTCCCTATATTATATCGTCTATCAATACATACATTGTCTTTGTAAATCTAAAAAAATCAGAAACAATTACTCTCATATTAATAACTGCTTCCTCATATCTATATACTAAATCTTCTCAACCGTTGCAACTATCCAAAAATGTTTTAACTTTCCAAAAAATAACAACCATCGCATCTGTTCAATATTTTTTCTATATATACTACATTTTCTCTACTAAACGTTTATCTTTCCATTCATACATCTAGAAAAAACCCTACTCTCTTCTGTCTTCCAAAAACTCCATCTTTTACCGAAAAAAAAAGAATCTAATAATTAGCGCAATATATATATTTATGAATATATTAATTCTGTCTTTCTTTTCATCATACACTTCAATTTATTTGGTCATTTTTCTTATAATAATTAGCGCAATATATATATTTATGAATGAAATTAGAAATCGGTTAAATTCATTCATTACTGTATATTACAAAAAGGGAAACTATTAAAAACAAAAAAATACAAAACAACTCAATAAATAGTTAGTCACATATATCAAGTCCATTTATCATATATCAAAATGGTACTAACATAAATAAACACTTAAAATAATTTTTTTTTCAAATACAACAAAATGCGCAATTAATCAAATATCATTCAACATCCTGTACACATATATTATAGTAGTTTATGATTTCGATATAAAAGATAACATTCATCCCGTGCATAGCACGGGTACTATCCTAGTATATATTATAAGCGAAGTAAAAATTTCGTTTAAAGCTCTCTCATTGAATCTCAGAGGTGGCTAATTACTCTTTACCCCTCCTTAAAATTATTTTTAATTTAAAAATAAA